TAATATCATTGCGCCTGCTGCACCCATGGTACGGCAGCAAGGTTACTTGATTATTACGCCAGAACGAGAGTATAGTTCCTAGCCATATCAGCCTAGAAAATCACAACTTTTAATTTTCCGTCGGTCTTAGTACACGATGTAACTACAGAAGAGTCAAGTTTTAAATAGGAAAAATATCGAAAGTCTTTGGTCATTTTTGAGCGAGATGCTAACGGTCTAATCAGATTCAATGATCTATGCTAAGCTAAGCTAAAAGTGCTACCGCCAGGCCCGGAGATCGGCTGAATGGATTCGAAAACGGTAAAACTCAGCTGTTTAACTCTAGGGGAGTTGGAAAATGAGCCTATTTTCAAAAATAGTGGAGTGTTCCTTTAAATGTATCAGTTGAGTGAATAATTCAGCGACTCACTCATTTTCGCCACCTACTGGTGTAATGATGCAACCTGTTGTATAATGAAGTGATATTGTTCACTACTTAAATAAATCATCAGTTACAGCTTTCATTTTTATTGCCATAAAACATTTCCAGAGAGAGCCAGACTGATGCAGAACTGTGATACATTTTTTGTCTTCACACTGTACTGATTCACTACAGCTAGTCTTGGTTCATAACAAACTATTTGTGAACTAGTCATGTTTCGTAAAATGTCATTGCAACTACAAGTTGTCAGTCTATTCTAGATGTTGTTTGTTGTCTATTTTACTTCTAAAGCTCAGAGAAACTAAAAGCCCCATTCAAATGTCCAGATAGGCCAGATTTGAAATGGCCTGCTAAACTGGTTGGTTCCCAAGCAAGCATCCTACGTACTAACTACAGCTCCTATATTATAAATATTCTGTGTTTCTCCACTGCCTGCTTGTCTCTCACAACCAAGAACAGAAACCGCCTCCAAACCTTTGTAAACATCTGTTGTGAAATCGCAGAAGCCACCCCACAAAGTCTCATCTTATTCTATGAACCCGAAAGGCCCAGGAAATGATGCGGGGCAGCTCACATGTCCTCCTCCAGCACACCCAGCTGCTTCCCTCATGCATCAGATACACGTACCACGACGCTCTACCAACAGTACAGAGAATCTGTTTACTGAATAGAGCAATCAGAAAATTGTGAGAGCATTGCACGTAACATCATTCGACTTCTGAGATGATAGTAATTAGACAATTCAATACATTCAGATTACAGAAATCATGATTATCATCTATATTCATCGTAATAGTTTCACAGCATATTTATTTTTTATTCAGCTTACATAAAGCTATTTTATAACAGTTTTATTAAATTAAAGTTCCAAAAATACCATATATACAAATATTTATATACTATAAATTATAATCTAAATTAGTCTCTAACTATACTGAGACTAATTTAGTGTACAGTATATTGTACACTTTTCAAAATTGGAAGCAGACACTTTTGAATTAAGAAAAAATATGTAGTAAATAGGCTATATAGAACAAACACAAAGCAAGAATATATATATATATGTATATTCTGAAATAAATAAGCTGAATAAATATGCTTGATGTATGGTTTGTTAGGCTAGGACAATATTTGGCCGAAAATCTGGAATCTGAGGGTGCAAAAAAAATCCAAATATTCAGAAAAACACCTTTAAAGTTGTCCAAATGAAGTCCTTAGAAATGCATATTACTAAACAAAAATTAAGTTTTGATATATATCAGTGTACATGGTGTGTAATTCATATACTTTTAATTTTATACAGTATTTTATTGTATCAGCTCATTTGCCTTGGATGCTTTGCATGATGGGACATGTGGATATGTTTGCAAGTACAGATTCCTTAATACAAGTCAAGCATTCACTAATTGATGAAGTACTTAGTATCCAAGTCCCTGGGAATCTCCCTAAACTTCTAGAAATGAGGTTAAAATACCAAGATAAATAATAACAATTCCTTCCAATCAGCCTGCTTACTGCTTACAAATTGTTAAAAGTTATCCAACTGTATTCAAATACTAAAAAAAATACATCAGAAGTACGAGAAATAAAGCCATAAGGTTGCAATTGCAGAAATGAACAAGTGCACTTAAAAAGTCTGCCAAAAGCTGCCAAAAAGTCACATATGATTAGTAAATAACATCAAAGCTACAATGTAATACACTGATAACCACCAAATTCAGGAGGTGATGAGAAAGTCACACGATGACCCAAAGCCCATCACAAGCAGCTTTTAAATAATAACATATATAGAAGGTGCACAGTGTCATTCACACAAACACTAAACACCATCACGGTAACACACATGTGAAACTGAAATAATGCAATAAACATTCATTTAACATCATTAGGTGTAACACACAACCCTAACATACAAAACTGATAAGAAAAAACTAAGAAGAAACCGTTATTTCAACAAAAAAACATCAAATTTGAAATGTAACGCAGGGAATTCTGGGAATGTCAATTTACGGTTATTCACTGTAAATTATACGGCCTTTTTCACTTCCAAAAATGGTATACTACCGTAAAATTAATGTCCAATACAGTTTTTCACCGTATATAGTAGGGGAATTTACCGTTAACCATTTAACAGCTTTTTACTGTAGCATTTTTACTTTTACCGCTTAACGGTCTTTTACCGTAAAATTCACGGTAATTTTTTACAGTGTGGCTTCTCTGACACATTTAAGCTGACAGAATAGACAATTTAATGTGCGTTATTATTATTATTATTTTTAAATCACCATCAGCACATTCAATTTCTGCTGTATTGCATAAAAGTGCCTCAGTGCCGTTAATAATCTGATTATAAAAAAAACCTTTAAATTCAAAAATGTAACAACTCAAAGTTGTTCGCATTGATTTTAAAATCAGAATCAGAATGAGGACAAAGCCAGGTTCACAATTCTTGTTTCATTTTCATATATATATATATTAACACACACATACTAAAAGCTATAAAAATGACAAAAAAAATGAGAAAACAACAAAATTACTAAAACATTAACCAACATGAAAATTCTAATAAAAATAAAACCTGATTTGAAATATCAATAAAAACTCAGTGATACTAAAATAAGACCAGTCAATAGCCAGAAATATATATATATGTAGAAAATGTTGTCTAAAATCAGGTGAAATGACATATGAACAAACCTCTGTAAATCTCTTCAGAATATCGATAGCCTAAAAGTGTAAGTGCGACTTTAGTTAAAATCTCGCTCAGTGAAGGAAAACATTTTTTGGCCTTTAAAACCATGTAATTAAAATCTGCAGAAGCAAATAGATAAAGTGTAATAAATAAAATCTTAAAAGTGTATTTTGGATGTTTTCTTAGCAGCAAACGACACGTTATGATAATCCATCTACATCTAGATTTTTTTTTTTGTATGTCCAGTCTTGCCTTAAAATAAAATAAAATAAAAGAATTGAAACGCGGTAACTTCATTCGGCGCAGTCCGGCAGACTCCTCCCCCTCGACCGCAGCCCCGCCCACGACGCGCCATCAGCTCTGCTGTGCGCTGCTTCCCGCAGACCCGCCTGCTCAGCGCGCGCAGTCCTCTGAGAGAGAGAGTGAGAGAGAGAGAGCTCCAGCTTCAGGGCCGAACACTGAGGTGTCAGCGCATCCGGACACAGGGCAGCCATGGCCCTGCTCGATCTCGCCCTGCAAGGCTTCTCCATCTTCGGCTTCCTCTTGTTCATCGTGCTCTGGCTCATGCACCTCGTGTCCATCATCTACGTGTGAGTGAATGCGGCATCATGGATTTGAGAGAGACCATCAAACGCTTCATTTATTTTTAGCGACGCTGATCGCGAGCTTGCAGCGTAGCCAGATTCGTTGATTGTAACGGGAGCGTTGTGGTGTGTCGCGTCGCGTCGC